GACTGACAAACAATAACGTACAACTGAAATTTCACAAGGTTGTAAACTACCATAATCTCAATAAAAAGTTAAAAAAAAAAAAAAAGTCTGCCTAAGTCCTTGAGGTCTGATTTTCAGCGCCTGGGGTCAGCTGGACCGGGGTCCGGAGTCCCCAGGGTGGGGCCTGCCGGAGGCCTTGCACGCACCTCCAAGCGGGGAGGCTGGGACAGCTCTCCGGGGAGAGATGCCCAGGGGTACCTGAGAAGCCCAGAGTGGCCCAGACCCGCCAGACTAGGGTCTGAAAGGCGCCTAGCTGTGGGCAGGTCAGGGGGGCCAAGGAGGGATCTGCAGCCTGGTTCGGGATCAGGGGAGGCCGCAGCAGCTGCGCCCTAGTCAGATCGCAGGGCTAGGCGCGGACGAGGGGTCTGGAGGAGGGCTGCTGCACCCCGGTTCTCCAGGGAACCATGCCCCCCACCCTGCTCCTCCTCGGCAGCTCAGCGCGCCCTCCCTCGGCTCCCTGGCGGCCCTGTGGGACGCGCGGCTCGCGCCCGGGCAGCAGCGCGCGCAGGGCCCGCAGAGCGGCGGCATGGAGGAGGCGCTGGCGTGGGAGACAGACGGCCGTGAGTCCGCGGCGCCCCGGGGCCGGGGGGCGGGTGCGGCCAGAGGCCGAGAGGATACCCGGCATCCCCACGGGGATGGCCAAGGCTGCGGTTGGCGCGGTCCGCGAGGCCATCTCCGTCCCGGGCTTCTTTGTGGCGCCCAGAGGGACGCGCACCGGGCCGAGAGGACATTGGCCGTGCGTCTGCGACTCGGGGGCGCTCCTTGCTCGGAGAGCCGGGAGCTGCGGTGGAGGAGACGTTAGCTAGAAATAAGATGGTAATACGATCCTTTATTCAGTACTTAATTTGTGTGTGGGCCGAGCCAGGACGGGCACGTTATTTGGTCTTCAAAGCGGCGCTACGGGGAGGACCTACTGTTATCTCCATTTTGCAGAAGAGAAAGCTGAGGCCCAGGGTGGTTAAATAAGTTGCCCAAGGTCACACAGCCATTAAGTGGCTGAAAGCCCCAGCTCCCCCGCAATGTCGGGGCTGGATGAGGAGTGAAGACCGTATCAGGTGGGGGAACTGAAACCCGGAGGAGAGGAGCTGTGACGTGCCGCCCGTGGGATGAGGGCACCTCAGAGCCGCCTCCAGGGAGTGTGCCCAGTGCCAGTGGCTCTAGGCCGGGCAGCAGCTGGCCTGGGGGGCTTTGGCTGCACTGCTTGGGAGAGAGGAGAGCATTGTGCCAGTGACCTCACTGGGATCGGGATGGGGATGGGAATGGGGATGGGGTAGGGGGCTCTGTCAAGGTGATAACTTTGTCAGAGGAGTGCAGGGTTCTTCTGGGGTGGAGAATCACCTGAATGGGAAAAGAATGTGCAGCAGTGGAGCATTGGGATGTATGGGAGGGAATTCTGGGCAGAGCACCCCGCAGGGGCAAAGGCTCAGAGGCCAGAGGGCAGTGTGTCTTTGACGTGGCCAGAAGGAGGGTGCATGGGTTCAGGTGGATGGAAGAGATGAGACTGGGCTTGATTTCACTGGCTCTATGCTCTGTGCTCTTGAACTCACTTGGACTCTTGGCTGTATGCCGACACAAACCAGGCCGCTCCTCCTAGGCTTCAGCTAAGACAAAGTGTGTCAGAGCTGGAAGGGATCTTTACAGATTACTTTGGTCACCCTCCCCAATTTTACAACTGAAGAAACCGAGACACCCAAGGTGGACGTGACTAGCCCAGGATCCTGCTGCTGGAAAGTGGCAGAGTCAGGACTAGAACCCAAGCTTCTCTAAGTCACACCTGAAGTGCCAGCCCTTTTCCTGATCCTGGGTCGTGGTGGTGTTCAGCTAAGATGTTAGGGAAAGAAAAGCTCGGTTAACACAGTACTTCCTGAAGATGTTTGGGATCTGAGAGGGGCTCTTCCAGAGCCTATTATGTTACTTTGAGAAGGGCCCTCTCCTCACCTACAGGAAAGGCAGACCCCTTTGGAGTGGGCAAGGGTGGAGCTGTCAGTGGGGACCACACTTGGAAGGTAGTATTTCTCCCCTTCCCTTGAAAATGTTGACTTGAAGCTCCCTTCTCTGCGGAGCCTCTTTCCTGCCGTTTCCCTGAGCTTGTGGTTTGGTTTTCCAGCCGACTCATGAGTCTTAATTGGGGGAGCATCTTATAGTTCAAAGGCTCCTGAAGAGTTTTAGTGGTTTGTGTGTCACTCATTCATTCAACAAATATGTGCCAGGGCCTGAATTTGGGGATATAGCAGTTAACAAATTAGACAAAGATCTCTCCCCTCATGAGCTTATATTATAATGGCGGAAGCAGAAAATAAACCTGATAAATATGTAAATATAGCGTACGCCTACGGTGAGGGGTGCTATGGAGAAAAACAATGTGGGGAGTTGTGTGGGGAGGGTGCCTTCCTTGGTTGGGGCTTCCCTGGCTCAGAGGGCCCTCAATGAAGGAGGCCCCACCATCTCCAGGTCTTTGGCCACCAGAATTTATTCAGACTCTTTGCCTTGGAGGAATAATAGTGATGATGAAGATGATGGCACTATTTACCAAACGCCATGCTAGCGGCTTTTCATATCTTGTATCTAATCAATAGACTAACCCTGCCAGAGAGCTCACATCCCCATTTTGCGGATGAAGGAACTGAGGCACAGGATAATGAAGTAACTAAGTCACACAGCCAGGAGGTGGCTTAGCCAGAGTTGAACCCAGGGACCTGTGATTGCCCTGGGGCAGCAGCTCTGGGATCCACAGCTTATGTCTATGAGGCCCAGAAAGCCCAAGACCCTCTCCCACATATGGAAAGCTGTGTGGAATTTACCTGGAAAAAGAAATGGATGGCAAGCCTATCTGTCACCTCAACACATCCTAGCCTTTCCTGCCAAGACATTGGCCACCTGTGGATACACAGAGGGGCTGGGTCTGGACATTCTCACTGGGCCAAACATGCAGAATGTGAGTATTGGCAGCAATAAAATCAGAAGATCACCTGTCCCGTAATGACTGTGCAAAGGGCCGGCAAATTATCTGTCCCTTGTGCTAGTGTGTCTAAGCCTTTCTGGAGAAGGGACAGGTAGCCATTAGTCTGGGGATTGTTAATGTCACTCATGGAAGCAGAGTTTTGTGGCTTCCTCCCTTTGCCCAGCTGTGATACTGTGATTTATAAGAAATATATATTTGATTATTCAGATGACCAAAATATATTTCTCATATATATTTGGTCTTCATCCACAGCTCACAGCTCCCAAAAGCCTAGGAATTTACTAAGTGTTAAGTGTGAGCAATGTGTCATTTGTTATGTTAATGAGGTGATTTAAGGAAAGGAATGGTTGCCAGTGGAGCCAACTGTGTCATTAGAGGGTTGGAACTCTTGGGGGAGGATTGAAAGGGCTGAAAGCTGAGTCAATTGCCAATAACCAATGGTTTAATCAATCATACCTGTGTAATGAAGCCTCCATAGAAACCCAAGAGGACAGGGTCCCAGAGCTTCTGGGGTGGTGAACACATGGGGATGCAGGGAGAGCGGCACGCTAGGACAGGGCATGGAAGCTCCGTGCCCTTTCCCCACACCTCGCCCTGTGCAGCTCTTCCATCTGGCTGTTCCTGAGTTATATCCTTTTATAATAAACCAGCGATCCAGTGAGTAAACTCTTTCTGTGAATTCTGTGAGCTGCTCTGGCAAATAAATCAAACCCAAGAAGGGGGTTGTGGGAACCTCTGATTTAAAGCCAGTTGGTCAGAAGTACAGGTAACAACCTAGACTTTCGATTGGTATTCTGAGTTGAGGGGGGCATCATTGGAACCTCCAATCTGTAGCCAGTCGTTCAGGAGCACAGGTAACAACCTGGGCTTGCAATGTACGTTTGAAGTGTGTGTGTTGGGGGGCAGTCTCTTAGGACTGAATCCTGACCTGTGGCATCTGATACTCTCTCCAGGTAGATAGTGTCAGAATCGAGCTGAACAGGACTCCCAGCTGGTGTTGGAGCATTGCTTGTTGGTGTGGGAAACCCTCCCCCCTACACACACATGTTGGAATTGGTCTCAGAACACCATTAGCCAGCTTTGGGCCCTCTGTAAGCTGTGGGTGGATCCGAAAGGGTCAGGTGCAGCCCGGGCCCCCAAGGAGTAGGTGGTCCAGCCAAGGAGACCAGACATCCTCACAAGCCAAGAGCGATCAGGATGATGGCATCGTGGGGGTCTGGTGGGATGAGCCCTGGACCACATCATCAGGCTCAGACCTGGGTCCTCCTGGCTTGGCCGCCAACACTCTGAGCCCACTGCTGCCCATGCCAGGAGGCTGGTGGGGGAGCTCTGAGGTTCCCTTTGGTCTGAGACTGTCTGAGATAAAGATGCAGTGATGAGCACGAGAGGAGTGCAGAGAGAAACTGCAGAGAAGGCACATCAGAGTGCGCCCCACAGCTGGGAGGCGAAAGCTGGTTAGGGATGAGGAGAGAAGAAGAGGTGGAGGGACGAGGGTCACGAGGTGGAAGCCGGGTAAACATGCCTCTGGCCTCGCCCGGGCCTGATGCAGTGGGTGGCTCATGACTCCTGCGGTCTTCTACCCTGGACAGAGCCAGGAAAAGGTGATGGGACTACCGTGACTCCGGTGGGAATGAATTCCATTCCCTTCCCCGAGAGCAGCTCTCGGGGAGGGGACATGAAACCTGGATGGCGGGGCACTGTGGGGGGGTGAGGGGCACACACCTGGCTCCTGTGGATGGTCTGCCGATGCTCTCCCATCTTCAGGGTTCAGAGTCCTGCTTGTATGGACCTGTGGTGTGTTGAAAGGAAAAGCAGTCTGTCTGTGGAAGTGCCCACCATGGAGAGGGAGGAGGGGCATCTTCAGATCCACCCTTCGTAGCTGGAAGACCCTCTGCCCGGAAACTTTCAGGGCCAGGGAGGGGCTGTTCCTCACTCCTTGTTGTGCAGGGTGGGGGGCCCTCCCTGCTCATCCTGCATCCCTTTTTCTCCTCCCAGTGCTTCCTCTGGAGAGGCAGCTCCACGAGGCCGCCCGCCGGAACAACGTCGGGAGGATGAAGGAGCTGATCGGGAGGAGAGTCAATGTCAGGGCCAGAAACCATGTGCGTAAAGGGGCTCCTCCAAATTGGGGACCCTGGGATAGGGATAGTGCCGTGGTGACGCCTCCACAAGGGAGGGACAGTTCACGGACACTAAGGCAGGTGCGCTGGCATGTGTTAACTTGGGGATGGCTCAGGTGGTCCACATTGTCTCAAGGTCTCTGAGGCCTCCCCCAGAGTCGGGGTCAGGATTCTGAGCCAGGCTTGGGCAATTCCAGAGCTCATACTCTTAACCCCTGTGACTCATGGGAAAGGCACACCCAAGGAACATAGGTTAAAGTCAAGAGGGCAGGGGGTCAAAGGTCAGGAGTTAGAGGCTGACAGTCAGGCAGATAGGGGCAGACACTTGGAAGGACAAAGATGGAGTGGTGCCTGTGGTCAGAAGTCCAGGGACTCAGGACTAAGAGAGGCCAGTCCATGAGAGGCTGAGCATGCTTGAGGCAGCAATTTAGTTCAGTTCTCTGAGGGCCCGCTGTGCCCACTGAGTGTGTAAACCTGCTGTGGGCCCAGATCTGCCCTCTGTGGCTCAACGACCAGGCAGGGAGGCAGACCTGGGCCCTGCTGATCAGGCCTCAGGGAAGGCCACAGGTAGGGTGGTTCACAGCCCTGCTGGGGAAGGCAACAGAGGGAACAGCCATTTCTTCTGGTGGGGGACACCGGGGATAGGCCTGGGTACCACCTGGGGTGGCCTCTCTCCGTCTTGGGGCTTCTGGCTGTCAGGAGCGTTTTAGAGGAGATGCTGGCCCGGGTGGAGGTCAGTGGAGGCTGAAAGGGTTGGGAGCAGCGTTCCTGACTGCAGCAGAGGCTGCTCTGTCTGGGGTGACACGACAGGGGTATGACTGGGTCTTCAGAGCCTGCCTGCGGCTCAGTTATAGTAACAGATTCTACGGTGTGTCTGGTGCATTTTGATTTCCAGAGCACTCTCTGCCAGTTTCCTGGGGGTCCTCACTCACTCCTGGAGAGGGGAGGAGGGCAGGAAGCGTTAGTCCTGGTTATCGATTGAGGGGAGCACAGAGGGAGTAGCAAGTCGCCTTAGGTAACACAGCATGTTATTGGTGACTGGAGCCTTGGTCTTAACTCCTGGACAAGCACTTGCCAGGAAGCATGGACTTGCAGGATGATAGGATGCTAATGCTAGATTCCTTCATCCATTCATTTGTTCATTCATTGATTCATTCATTAAATATTTATTTACTTACTTACTTTACCGGCTTACTCTGCCAGTGCTGTGCTAAGTGCTGGGGATGCAGAGCAGACGTGGTCCCTGGCCCCTTGAAGCTGATAGTCTGGTGGGGAAGGACAGACATTCAACAGCATCGCGCAAACAATTCATTCCCACTGTGATAAGCTGAGAGCATGTGGGGACTGGAGGGGGCCCACCCCACTTACGTGGGTCAGGGAAGGCTTCCCAGGGAAGTGGCATTTTCGTGGGATCAGGTGAAGAAGGAAAGTGGTCCAGGCAGCGGGGACAGCGTGGGCAGAAGCTTGAGGAAGGAAGGAATAGCTGGTCCCCAGGGAGACCACACAGAAAATTAGCTTCCTTTTGTTTTCCTCTCACAAGCGGAAACCTCCGGAGGGAAGGGGGCCGTGGGTTGGCTCCCCTAGGCTTGCTCAGATGTGTGAAGGCCAGAGACCATGGTGAGCTGCCAGGGTGGTGTGACAGTGAGGTGGGGAGTCAGGCCCCAGCAGGCCTGTTCTGAGGGAAGGAGGGGACAGAACGGGGCCCTCAGGGACTTGGAGAGTATCCTCAGACACGGGTGGCTGTCCAGCAGAGGGAGCAGCAGGAACAAAGACAGAGGGGAGAAGTTGTCTGGCATTTCTGAGAAGCAGTGGTGGGCAGGCGGGACAGGCAGGGCCTCCGAGGCCCCGGGGTCAGGAGTATCCCAGGAGCAGCGGGAAGCTGTGAAGAGTTTTAGCTGGGGACACATGGACTAATCCTGTGTTTTACTATGTTCATTTCAGCTGCTGCCATGGGGAAGGGCCAGAATGTGGCTGGGGCCCCTGCCAGGTGGTCACAAGAGCTGACAAAGGCCCTTCCACCCTGCAGGCCAGCTGTCCTGGCCAGGAGGTGGGAGGTGGGGGGCGCTGTGGGAGGTGGGCCAGGCAGCCGGCAGGCTCCTCACAGGTTTCCTCTCGATCCTGGCAGGTGGGCAGGGTGGCCCTGCACTGGGCGGCGGGCGCAGGGCATGAGCAAGCTGTGCGGCTGCTCCTGGAGCATGGGGCTGCTGTGGACGATGAGGATGCGGTACGGGACCCCTCGTGGAGGCGCGTCTGTGTGTGCGTGTCTGTCTGTCTGTCTGTCTCAGGGTGATGGAGGGGCATCGAGCTCTCTCTGGGTCTACGAGCCAGGGGTCTTTGCCGAGGTCGCTGCTGACACGCAGATGCACAGGTGCAGGGTAGGCAGGAAGTCAAGTCTTCGGGCGCCAGTGACACTGCACCGATCCCATTTTTCCCTTGCACAGTCATAAAGATCTCTCCATTTTCAAGGGCCTTTCAGCTCTCAGAGAGCCTTTTCAGCCCCTCGTGATACCCTATGAACAGGGAGAGATATGAGTTGTAGAACGGAAAATTGGGTGAGTTGACAAAGGCCTTATTTGTAAAGCCATTGGGAGGAAGGTCTCTCATGAGATGCCACAGGGCTCTGTCCTGGGTAACCCTTTAACCAACAACCTGGATAAAGACTAACAGTCTTACTTAACAAATTGGCAGGCAGCACATTGCTGAGAGAGAGCACTGAAGAATAACAGGGTCTGCAAAATTATCTCTACAGGTTTGGGGAGAGGTCTGAATTTTGACAGGGATACCCGAAAAAGTCTGAATTTAAATTAAAAAAAAAAAAATTATAAACTTCCCTGCAGAGACTTAGCTTCCATAGAAATACTTTTCTTTGGCCTGGCTTCTCTCTGCTCTCAGGCCCCACCTCGAGGGGGCTTGATTTCGAGTGGGGCTGGGAGTGAGTGGGGCAGCTGCACCTGCCTCTCCACCCCTACCCGTACCTGCTTCGGCCTCCTTTAGAGGGGACTCTGGAAGGAGAGTGTCTGGGATCCTTAGTCTGAGTTTCCCAATAAAACACTGGAACCTCTTGCATCAGCCCTTTGCTCACAAAGACGCCACTCTCACCACTGTGCTCTGTTATTTCTTCCTTGAGGGACTGAGTGAGAAAGGAAGATATGAGGGAGAATAGGAAGACAAAGTCCTTTTATAGATCTTCTCTATTTCCTTTGAGAGCAGTAATAAAGACATTTGGAGCAGTAAGAAGGCTGGTGGGCATGCCTAGTTTAGTAACAGGAGAGTGGAGGAGATACTGGAGAGGGAAATCCTGTTGTTGAGGGAAGGTCTCTAGTGATATGCCACACGGCTCTGTCCTGGAAGGTTCCTGGATCTAGGACTGTGAATATCCCTGGGGTTCCCACTGGCAGGAGGCTCTGGCTCCCATGACCCTCCTCCCCCAGCCCTGAGCCTTGACACCCGTCATCATTCCCACCTGCTGTGGGTTTCTCCCTCTGGACTCCACCCTGTGCCTCGTCCAGCCAGCCCACAGTTACTGATAACTCTTCCCGGGGCTGAGCTTTGAGCTGGTGCTGTGTTTCCTGGCCTCTTTGGCTCTAGCTGAGAACAGCTCCAGTCCCCATTTGAGCTGCTATGTCAGGTCCAACACCTTCCCCGAGATTTCAGCAGGAAGGGCTTAGGTTCTTGTGGTCAGTGCTGGCTCTTACTTCTAGCTTCTGCTCAGTCTTTGCCGTCCTCTTGAAATTTTGCAAATAGTGCCTTATCGCTACCTTGGCATCACCCCCACTGTGGCTCTCAGTGCTTCTCCCTGGTTTCCACAGAGACCCTATTTACAGAAAGCTTCCAGTGTGGGCAGGCTTTCCAAAATAAGAGATGGAGGGGATTTACGTCACACATGAAAACAGTCTACAAATCCTAAAATCCTCTCTGGCATTCCTGTTCTTTAAGTCCCTTGACCTCTTCCTTGTCTTGGCCTCAGCGTCTGTCCCCCCACCCCAATGCTCCTTGTCTGCACCACAGCCTTCCTGCCTCCAAATTCCTGCCCTTTCTAAAGCAGAGCCACAAGACTGTCTTTGGATGCCCAGTGGCTGCTGATCAGTTTCACCTTTCACTCCCACCACTTGTCAAAGGTTTTACCCAGACGGAGTTCCGTCCCTAAGAGGAATTCTGGTGCCAGCCACTAAGACCCCCTTTCCTGGTGCTCCTCACAAAGGCTCTTTGTGGGGCCAGTGGGGAGGCAGCTATGATCCGGGGTGTTCCGTGCAAGTGCTGGGTGGGGCACTCTCCCTCCTAGAGGTCCGACTGTGAAATTGAGGCTGATTCAGGACTAGGAGCTGACCAACCCTGTCCTTGTGGCCCCTGCCCTAGGCCCCAGGCAGCTTGGAACATGCCGAGGGTGGGCATAGGTAAAGGGGACACTGACCCCTAGTTCTTCTTGAGGTGGGCTCTGCATTTCAGCTCCCAGCTGCACGTGGGAGCACTTGCCCACTGCAGGCCTGCTTCTTATGCTGCTGGGGAGATTCTTTGGCCTATCAGAGGAGACCACACTGTCGGTTCATTCTACGTATGACAGGCTTTTGGCCTTGCCAGGAGACCTAGAGCCACACATGACACTTTCTGTGAGAAAATATGTTCTGGTCTATTGGCACAGATGTTAGCTCAGGGACAATCTCCCTCAAGCAAAAAGAGAAAGATTGGCAACAGTTGTTAGCTCAGGGCCAATCTTCCTCACCAAAAAACAAAAAAATTCCTGGACTTTATTTATTTATTTAAAGATTGGCCCTGAGCTAACATCTGTTGCCCATCTTTTTTCTTCTTCTTCTCCCCAAAGCCCCCCAGTACGTGGTTGTATATTCTAGTTGTAGGTCCTTCTAATTTTACTATGTGGGACGCAACCTCAGCATGGCTTGATGAGCAGTGCTGGGTCCACACCCAGGATCCGACCTGATGAAATCCTGGGCTGCTGAAGCAGAGAGGGTGAACTTAACCACTCAGCCACAGGGCCAGCCTCTGGACTTTGAGTTCCCAAAGCTGGAAGCTCCCTGGCCTGGATGGTCCCTCATGGTTGTATGACTATGCAGTGCAGATAGGGCCCAGGTGGCACAACCACACCTCCTTACATTCTCCTCCCCTCCTCCCCTGTGTCCTCTCCCCCAGTTTGGGATGAACGCGCTTCTCCTGTCTGCCTGGTTCGGCCACTTAAGGATCCTGCAGATCCTGGTCAACTCTGGGGCCAAGATCCACTGTGAGAACAAGGTAAGGCCCCCCTGCCCCTGCCTCCTCTCTTCCTCCTGCCCCCAGCTGCACAGGTCTACCCCATCTCTGCCCCCTCCTGCCCGCCATGAGCCTCTGCCTGCTCCAGCTTGCCCTGGCCCTCTGAGAACCCTCCCGAAGCCCCAGCTAAGCTCAGCCCTGTGAAGCTGGCACCCTCACTGCTTCCCCTGGGGCTGAGAGAAGGGTCTGGGGTATGTCTTCTATCAACACTGAAAGCCTCTTTCTTCTGATCCCCCCCCAACCCTTTACCACCCTCTGGTGTGGGGACAGTCCCCAGCCCTCTGGGCAGCCTTCTTATTTACACAAGAGGAACCGAAGGAACACCCTCTGAGGGTCTTAGGAAGGTTAGATGAGATGGGGTGTGGCCTCCTCCTCTGCCCGGCCGGCCCCTGCCTCTCTTGTGGTCTGTGTGGAAGGAGGAAGGCACCGTTTACCGAACTGTGGGGCCTTCAGCAAGTTACTTCACCCTTTGAACCCCAGTTTTCCCATTTGGAAGTGGGGATGCTAGGACCCCCTCTGAGCTGAGGGAGAAACAAGAACAGTGCTGTGGGCGAAGTGCCTGGCTCGGTGCCTGGTCCCTTGGGGAGCCTGGCAGTGCCTCGCCGCTCACTGGTGGGCCCTGGGGTTTGAGGGAGGCGGGGCCCGCGAGTCGGAGTGCCTGGAGTCCCTGCGCTGGTGTCTCAGTGGCCCTTAGGAAAATGCAGTCATTTCCGGGCCAAAAACCTTCAGCCAGGAGTTCTCAGCCTTGGTCCTTAGAGAGAGTTCAGGGGTCCAGCGACTCGGATGGGAAAAAAAGTATGTATTTTTTTTAACATAACTTCTACTTGAAAATTTAGCATTTCTTTCAGTGATGAATGTGGGTAGTATTAGTATTACCTGTGACTTATCACTTATAGAAAATGTAGCTATTTTCATATCACGTTACAGTTTTTAAGGTATATCAAAATACTATTTATGTTCATCATTACTTAGAAATTATGGCAGTTACCAATCCTTCACTAGATCTTGTTGTTTAATGGATCAATAAAGCACGTATGTTACTAGATTGAAAATTTGCTTTTTGATATTTTTGCTAATTCTGTTTCAATATAATTGGTTTCCTTTTGTCGTGGGCAGAGTAATAGCCCCCAAAGATGTCCATGTCCTAACCTTGGAGCCTGTGAACCCCAGAATCTAACATGGCAAAAGGGACTTCGCAGGTGTGATTAGGTTAAGGACCTTGAGGCGGGGAGATTATCCTAGATTATCCACACGGGCCCACAAAGGTTCTTAGAGGAGGAAGAGGAAGGCAGAGGGTCCGAGAAGGAGATGTGATGGAGGAGGCAGAGGTTGGAGTGATGCGGCCACGAGCCTAGGAATGTGGCAGGCTCTGGAAGCTGGAGAGACCAGGAAAGGGATTCTCCCTTAGGGCCTCCAGAAGAGGCACAGCCCTGCCAACCCATTTTAGACTCCGGCTCCAGAGCTGTAAGATAGTACATTTGTGGTGTTTTAAGCCACTGAGTGTATGGTAATTTGTTACAGCAGCAATATGAAACAATACACCATTGTAAGCCTGTGTATTTGATTAAAATTTCTTCCTATATAATTTATTTTATGCATTTAAGTAAACATTTTTCTGAGAATGGGTCCGTAGGCTTCACTAGACACCACAAAGGGCCATGGCACATGAGAGTTGTGCTTATGCCATTGTCAGGATTTGTTGTTGTTGGTGGGAATGTCTGACAGCTCCCAGGGAAGGATGCCCCTGGGTTATGGACCACAGGATCTGAGCCCAGAGTGTGGGAGTGAGAGAGTGAGGGCCTATCAGGAGGGACCCTAGGATGGCACCCCGGTTCCAGCTGAGAGTCCTTCTGTCCTGTCCTGCCTGCTTGGCCTGCTTGGCCTTGGAGAAGCTCAGTGGCCCTAGGGAATCCAGTAGCTGTCTTGATGGAATTTGCTATAAACACAGAGCTGTGAATGAGCCTCATTGTTCTAGAATGAGGGAGGCGGGGTCTTGGGTGTGTGTTGAGGGCAGGGGCAGGGCTCTGAATAACGGACTCTTCTGGCTAAGCAGATCCCCTCTGTATTAGTTTTCTATTTTCAGTAACAAACCACCCTAAAACTTAGTGGTTTAACATAACAATGATTTATTATTTTTCATAATTCTGCATTGGCTGGGCAGTTCCTGTGGTCTTTCCTGGGCTCACTTATGAGACCACAATCAGCAGGAGGTTGGGCTGGGGGCTAGCTCTCTCTGGGTGGCCTCCCTTGCATGTCTGCAGCCTCTGCAGGGAGGGTTGGAACGTCTGGGATGGTGTGGCTTGTTTCTCCAGGTGGTGGCTGATCTTCACGGAGGGCAGGCTGGCCTTCCTTATGTTGCTACCCCACGCATAGAAAAAAGCAAGAGAGGAAGTGGCAAGGTTTCTTGAGTTCAAGGCTGGAAGGTCACATGATATCATACCACATTCTACTGGTCAAAGCCCATTACATGCCACCCTAGATCCAGGGGGAGGAGAATATTGGATTCCCCCTCTGGATGAGAAGGGTAGCACAGTCCAGTAACTTACGGTGCTTCCAAGGGTGGGAGGAATAGTTGCAGCCGTCTTTGTAAACAGTCCATCGCAGCCTTCCTTTCCATCCCTGTGGAAGGTCTTCCCCAAAGATATTCATCACATCTTAGATGAGGATTGAGCCAGGCCCACAATCCATCCACCCCTTCCTGCTTCTGCCCTAAAGCTTTCTCTTTGCCCTGCTGTTTACCTGGCTCTACCTTGCCAGGCATTGGTGATATTTAAAATTTTGCTATAGACTGTATTAGAATTTCACCAGTTTTCCTGTTAATATCCTACAGTATTTAGTCATCTTGTCTCCTCCAATCTTGAGACGATTTCTTAGTCTTTCCTTGTTTTTCATGACACTTTCTTTGACACTTTTAAAGAGTAGTGGTCAATTATTTTGTAGAATGCCCTTCAATTTGGGTTTGTTGGATGTTTTTCTCATGATTAGATAGACTGGGGTTATGGAATTTTGGGAAGAAGACCACAGAGGTCAAGTGCCCTTCTCATCACCTCGTATTAGGGGGCGTGTCACACCAACATGATTTGTATCTAGTGATAACACTAGTGAGGTTGTTACCTTGATCCAGTTCTGATACCAATTCTGATGTGATGTATTTTCCACAACACCAAGCAATTAACTCAATTCTCCATGGACATTCACCGGGTGTCCCACAATTTAACTCAGTTCTGACACTGTCCACCTGGAGATGGCATCAGATTTCATAAGTTAGGGGCTCAGTCCCACAAGACTGCCCCCACTTCAGATGCCAGTCTCAAGTCCACATTGTTACCTGTGCTTCTGACCAACTGTCTATAAATCAGAGGCTCCCATGACCCCCCTTCTTAGTTTTGATTAATTTGCTAGAACAGCTCTCAGAACCCAGGAAACCAGTTTACTTACTAGATTATCAGTTTATTACAAAGGATATTAAAGGATAGGAATTGTAGGGGAGGAAGACAAGTCCTCTACCCTCTAGGTCCTTCTGGCTAGCCTAAGAATGAAATTGACATGAGACAGAATAACAGGAGAAAATCAAAGCTTTATAACATGTATACATGGGAGAAACCCAGGAAAACTGAGTAGCCGGCTAGAATGGCCAAAGCCGCCACCTTAAATACCATCTTCAGCTAAAGACAAAGGCCCATGCTGGGAGTAGTGGTTTGGGGCCTCAAAGGAGAGGAAGACAATTTACATGGAGATGAAAATGCAAATATTTGTTAATCAAGTGTTTGCTGGGCCAGCTACAGACAAGGTTATCTTGAGGTATTAGCTCCTTCCTGGAACAGGCCCTTCTATCCTAAATTCTTTTAGACAGTGAGGGGGAAGGTCAAAGTTTCTTTCAGTCTTTTGTTCTTAAAGATAATCAAGCCAAAGAGACACATTTTGGGGTGACTAATTCTGATCCCCCACCAAATCAATAGCCAGATATAGAGATACGTAGAGCCAGGTTCCAAAAGCAGGAGCTTCTGTCCCTATGGAATTTGGGGCCTGGCACGTGGATGCATTCTATTTCACCAACCTGGAAGCTCTCCAAACCCCGTCCCTTTGGGTTTTTATGAGGCTTAATTACTTAGGCATGACTGATTAAATCCTTGGCCGTGGGTGATTGATTCAACCTCCAGCCCTTCTCCTCTTTCTGGAGGTCAGGGGGGTGGGGCTGAAAGTTCCAACCCTCTAATCACTGGTTGGTTCCCAGGCAACCAGCCCCTGTCTTTAGGTTACCTAGGGCTTCCCCAGGCCCCTCATTAACATAACAAGAGATTCCTTTCTGGCTCTTACTGCTAGGGTAACCTAAAGGAGCTTTGTGCCAGAGACAACGATGAAGACCAAATATATAATTCTTATTATAAATCACAATATCACCCTTGATCTCTTGGTGAAAGTGGTGTTGTCCAGGTTCTCCACTGTAATGTTAGCATTTTTCCCTTTCCTTACTCTATTGTTAGAAACTCTTTGTGGTTTTAACTTACATTTCAGCAATGACTAATGATGTCAGATATGTTTTCATGTGCTTATTTGCCATTCATATATCTTCTTTGGTCTCCAAATTATTTTTATTTATTTATTTATTTTAAGATTTTATTTTTCCTTTTTCTCCCCAAAGCCCCCCGGTTGTGTACTTTTAGTTGTGGCATGTGGGACGCCACCTCAGCATGGCTTGATGAGCGGTTCCGTGCCCACGATTCAAACCAGTGAAACCCTGGGCTGCTGAAGCAGAGCACATGAACTTAACCACTTGGCCATGGGCTGGCCCCCCCAAATTATTTTTTAGTTGAGTTGTTTAATTTGTTATTGATGAGTTTTTAGAGTTCTTTATAAATTTTGGATGCATTTCGAAATTGCAGACATCAATGTACTTCCCTCTAAATACTTCAGTGTGCATGTCATTAACTAGAGTTCATTTCTTTACATACAATGAAATACACAAATATTAAGTTTATACTCACTGAGATTTGACAAATGCTATTCCTGTGTAACCCATGCTGCAAGATCATGACCCATCGATGGTTGCCATCTACTTGAAAATCAGTGTTCCAAATAATCTAGCTGTGATGCAAGGCCAGGGTGGAAGCTCTGGGCTGTGAACATAGGGTTTGCAAACCTCCTTCCTTAATTGTTGCTTCTGGGGCCAAGAGACCTTCTTCCGCACCCCCCACCCTACCACCTCCTCCCCCTGGCCCACTAATCCCCTAGTCCCTAGTCCCTGCAGACCACGCTGCTTTCAGTCCTCCCTGGAAGGTTAGGGGGTGACTTCCTAGTGACAGACACTGGGCACTTAGCCACCGCCTTCCTCATTTGCTGCTCTATCAAGGAAAGCAGATGCTAGAACCTCCATAACAACATTCTGTGGGGATGTTCTGGGACTGTTAGTGCCATACAGCCTCAGCTTACATCCTCGAATCATTTTCAGTTTATAAAGTACGTTTCCTGTAGGTGATGCTCAAGATTATTAAGCTAATTTGACCTCTGAGAAAGTGGAGGCTCAGGAAGGTAGAGGTAACTAGCCCTAGGCCACAGAGCTGATAAACGCTGGAGCGCAGCACAGATTTGAACTCTGGCATCCTGACTCCCACCCGCCCCTGTGAGGCTGAGTTATCCCAGGGGCCCATCTCCATTTACAGTGTTGTTTCCATGGGGAAGCTGAGTTCTGGGTCATGAACACTCACCGTTGGGGAGACAGCCAGTGTGTGAGAAGGGCCTCCCTTCGCACACTGCAGGGACCACCCTGGCTTGTTTCCAGGAGGGTCTGACCTTACTGCACTGCGCAGCCCAAAAAGGCCACGTGCCAGTGCTGGCGTTCATAATGGAGGACCTGGAGGACGTGGCTCTGGACCACGCTGACAAGGTGAGAGTGGCCTCAAGGCTCTTTGTCCTTCTCATTGGGCCAGGGGCTCCTGGGACCACTCCTGCCCATTCCTTGAGTGCATCCTTTGAGCTATGAGTGGTGTAGACTGGACCCCACCTCAGGGAGCTGCTGGTCTGGAAGGGACATGAGGGCACAAATAGCAGGCCGCAGGCAGAACATGGTCAGCTCCCTCAGACAGGTTCTGTTAAGGACTAGACAAGATAGAGAAGGGGGCCACTCCTGTCTGCTTCCCAGAGGAGGTGGCGTTCCGTGAATGAACTGGATTTTGTGGGCAAAGTTGGAAAGCAGGGGAGAATTCCAAATGGAGGAGAGGGCATCGCTAGAGCTTTAGAGGTGGGAAAGGCCCATGGTGTGTGAGTTCAGATGGACTGGAATCTTGGGAGTGAGGCCCCAAGGAGGTGCTGAGGCTCGTCATGGAGATCTTGACCCTCAGCCTCAGGAATCTGTCCCTTACCCAGTAGGTATCAGGGAGCCACAGAGGGATTTCAGTGGGGGAGGGTCCCCCCCACCCCAAGTGGGGTCTTGTTGGGATATTGGGTCTGGGCTTTCCAGCCAGGGTGTGTAGGGCAAAGGGAGGGGGGAGCAGGAGAGGGGCAGGAAAGGTCACTGTAAACCCAGAGTGGTTGGGGAAACAGAGGCCAGGGGGGCAGGGCATGGAAGGTTCACTCTCTTCTCTTTCCAGCTGGGAAGGACAGCGTTTCACCGGGCTGCTGAGCACGGGCAGCTGGATGCTCTGGACTTCCTTGTGGGCTCTGGCTGTGACCACAGTGTCAAAGACAAGGTACTGTAACCATGGGTCCCAGGGGAGGGCCCAGGCTCTGGGCTCCTGACCAGGGCGGGTGCTGGCAGCTCACCTGTGCTTACTTCTGACTCCAGCATCCTGGAGGGGCTGGATCGGCCCAAAGACCAGAGTGTGTCTGATGTTCATCCAGCAGGCAATTTTTGAGCACGTGCCATGGGCCAGCCCTGTGCTATGGGTGAGGAGCACAAAGATGCCCAAGACATAGTTTCTTACTCAAGGAACTCAACACCACAGTCCTAGTAAGGAGCTATGATCCGAAGTGGGGAGTCAGGATGGCAAATCTGGTCGGTAGTGCTGCCTGGAGTGGGTTTGAGTGGGACTGTGGTGTCGCTGGGGATGCCTGGTGTTAGGCGGTGTGGGAAAGGGTTGGGGGCTGGTAGCCACACACCTGCTGGTTATTTGCTTTCTTTGTATTTTAGTAATCTACTATGGTTATGGTGAAAGCAGGGTCAGGGCGCTGAGGAGGGAGCAGTTCACTTAGGGTGGGGAGCTTACCAGCAGGATTTCTCCAATCTGAGAAGGGGTGAGGGATGGGGACCAGAGGGGGCTATCCTACAAATGACTCGTATCAGTGGACCATTTTGAATCGTTAGGCAAATGTGTTGCAGCAAATTCTAAACAATGCTTCCAACAAAGAGACAAACTCCATTTTTAATCTTCTGATTAATGTGCTCCGCCAGGAGAGGAGCTCTGTTTATAAGCTAGTGACAGAGAGTTCACAGAGAAAGGCACTGCAAGGTCTTAGAAATGGAAGCCCCTTCATCAAGGGCAAGTTCAACCTTTTCACTTTACAGATGTGGAAACTGAGGCCCAAAGAGGGGGATCCTTTAGCCAAGGTCACACAGCAAGACAAAGGTTGAGCTGAATTTGGAACCAGCATCCTGATACCTAGCGCTGTGCTCCTCCCTCTCACCAGGCTGCCTCCTGGGGCACTGAGCCCTTGGAGTCTGTACTGAATCTGTCGTCCACACTCATCCTTTCAGGATGAAAAGGCTGAGTCAGTTTCCGAGAATGAGATCAGGCCAATTTCCTTCATTTCGGAAACACGGCCTGAGCACGTCATGCTCTGTGCCAGCACGGGGTCAGGAACTGGGAGTACGGAGAGGTGTAAAGGACAGCCCTTGCCAGGACATGTCCACCCAGGAGGCAAAAATGATTGTACTCAGGGCCCTAGGAGAACAGGAGCTCCCAAACTAGAAAACAAGAAAAGTCCAGCTCTGATGAACTTACCCAGAATCTTGCAATCAGAAATTCTAAAAGGAAGCTTTTAAAATTGCATGCTCCTGTTAAGTTTTGTACTTTCAGATGAGGAGCGTCTTCATTTTGAATTTCATTTGAGGAGGGGTTCAGAATGCTTTTCAAGGCTTTGAGCCACTGAAGGTCTGGCTCCTACTAGGACCCCACAGCCTGCACAGGGAGGTAGAGCTGTCAGAAGTGATGACAACACACGTCATGCCACAGGTGCTGTAGGTAGGGAGGCTTACAGAGCCCAGGGAGTCATTAGTTCCCCTGGGAATGTCAGGGAGATGCTGACAGGGCCTCAGAGAGGTGGAGAGGCTGGGCATCCCCATGGGCGGAGGGGAGAGGGCACTAGGCCCAAAGTCAAGGCCTCCTTCTGCCCAGCTCTCCTGCCTCTGAGCCCGCTGCCCTCCCCAGGCAGAGTCCCAGCGCCCTGTTAGGGGGTCCATGCCACCTGCAGCTTCAAAGGGCAGGATGTGGGTATTTATAACCTAGAGGGAAGAAGAAAGCCCCACCCTGTCTCCACAGCCTGCTACCTATGGGCACCTGCAGCCCCCACGGTTCACCCGCTTCCTTCGTGTCTTCTTGAACAGAGACTTCACACCGTGGCCACATTTCCCACAGCCTGGTGCTTGCTTGCAGCAGCGAGCCAACCAGGTCACTGTGTGCGCATCTGCAGAGGGTGGGGGAGGAGCGGAACGGCTGGTGAGGGGATATTTTAAACAATTTTTATTTATTAATATGACAGTGATCGTAAAGGAAATTTAAATCTTTCATCTTCGATCCCATCAGATAGTTAGAGCTATTTGATGGATGTGTGGGTCTCCCATGGCGGGTATGTTCTATCTGTCGTCAGTGCTGCTGTGGCTTGGTATGCTGTGTGTTCACATCCTCACTGGGCCCTTTAAGGATCTGTGCTTAAATGCGAAGGTCTTGATTCCTTCCTCAGGAGGGCAGTGAGACAGGCCGGGTAGAGGAGAGAGCTTGAGCCAGGAGGCTTCCACGACTGGGTCAGCTAGCTATGTCCCAGGGGCCTTCTGGGCATGATGAATGGCCAAAGTTGGATCTTCCCTTCTGGATGCTTCTGTGGGTTCCTCAGGGGTCCTTGCCCTGGTCCTCCGTCTGTGGTTCCTTCTTAGGGACATACCTTGACGTGTCACCTCCCCTCTCTGAACCTCAGCTGCCACGTCTATAAAATGAGGGGCGGCTCCAGCTTGTCCCCAGGGCCTGCGGGGGTCTGTGACTCTACTGGCCCCTCAGGAACCCTTCTCCCTGAAGGACGGGAACACGGCCCTTCACCTGGCTGCCGCCCGGGGCCACCTGGCTGTGCTGCAGCGACTCGTGGACATCAGGTTGGACCTGGATGAGCGGAATGCGGTGAGTCATGCCCAGAGGATGCAGAGATGCATGAGGCTCGTTTGCTCCCTGCCTTTGAGGAACCTACAGCCTGAGGTATGGCCTGATTTTCCCCTGGGAGAGCCCCTGCAGCCGGGAAGCTGAGGACATGTTTTCAGACTAACAGTCCACCAGGAAAAGATAAGCAGCAGCACAAAACTCGAGGCTTGGTGAAGGCTCTAGGCATGAGGGATCACCAAGAAGTATACCATGGTGTGTACTCAAAGAAGGGAGAAGTCGCTGCGGCCAGGATGATCTGGGAAGGCTTCCTGGAGTAGGAGGGAATAGACAGAGAGTAGGGGGTGAGACAGCTTGGAGGGTGAGGAGAACTGAGCAAAGCATAGGAGAGAGTGAATGTACCACATGCCCCTCAAAATGAGACAGTCAGGTTCGGGGCTCAGGGAACCATAAATAACTAAGGTCGCTGTCCTCAGTAGCAGGGCAGAGGAGAGCTTAAAGAGCCCTGGAGCCATGGCAGAAGGGGTGTCCTCTCCCCTTGAGGCCTGGCCTCAGCCTCCCCGCCGTCCTCATCCCTCTGGTGTTTCAGGAGGGTCTGACTGCCCTGCACGCGGCTGCTGAAGGGATCCACCCCGACTGTGTGCGGCTCCTCCTTGGGGCTGGGAGCAACGTGAACACCCTCACCCAGGTAACCAGGCCTCCCCACCACTGACATCTGCCTGTGGCAGAACCATAACCACGTCAACAGTAGCAGCCACCATCATCCCTGAATATTATGTGAATAGAGGCTATGAGGCAGCAGGCCCGGGTTCTGGTCTGGCTTCTCTGCTGCAGAGCTCTGTGACCTTGGGCCAGTTACCTAACTTCTCTGAGCCTCGTTTCCCAACTATGAAATGAGGAGGCTGCATACTTACTGTTTTACACTCTGTGAGGATTAACTACCTAGTACGGTGCCTGAGACATAATAGCAGCTCCCCACCTGTCAGTGTCTTCTTATTGTTGGGCACTTCGTGGTTCACAAGGCCCCTTTGTGACTATTACCTTAGAGAAATTCTCCCCATTTGACAGGTGAGGAAATTGAAGTTTAGAGAGGGTCACTGACTTTCCCAGGTCACAAGCTTGTAAGAAACAAAGCTGAGTCTGAGAAGCCCATTTCCTGACTGCAATGCTCAGGCCTGGAAGGTTCATCACACCTGTGCAGGGGCCACCCAGCCCTCAGGCTGGAGCTGGGACTCTGGGACAGGGCTCTTCTCTCCCTCCCCATTGTCTACCTCAAGTCGGCCCCAGGACAGTCCCCGCTGTGTCCTGGAGACACACAAGGTGTGGTCTTTCTCTAGGTAGGGAGTTCACTTTTTTTGTTTTTGCTTTTTATTTTTAGATGGATGAGGAATAATTTGTCTTAGCTGGCCGAAGGGCTTCAGGTTCTGGAATTCTCTATTCTAAATTTCAATAATAATGCAAAAATAATAATAATAAATAATAAAATATAAATAATAGTGAAAATAGTTAAAAAACAGGAATTAAAATGGGATGCTCAAAAATATTTATTTAACACAAAAGGAGACAGTCAAGGAGAAACAGAACAAAAAAGACAGGAAACATATAGGAAATAAATAGCAAAATGGCAAATGCAAATTTAATCGTAATATCAGTGTTAATATCCCCTAAATGTGAATAATGCTTTATAAGCCACAAAACACTTAATTTGCAGAAGTCCCCTGGAGGTGTGGGAACTACTACCCCAGGAGTGTGGGGGTCACCAGAGCCCAGAGAGGAAAGGCGGCTGCCCCAGGGCACCCAGCTATGTCCTCCCATTGGCTTGGTGTTGCTCTTCAGTTAGCAGGTCCCTTCTCTGTGCCCAGTACAGTACTAGGTGCTGGGAGGGGGCAAAAGAAGTGAAATGCCAACAGTAGCAGAGACTGGGGAGGTTGTGTCCAGCTGGTGGTCATTGGTGGCGCTGGAGCTGCCCACTGCACTGGGCCTTGTGCTCCAGCCTCGGCTTGAGGTTTCTGGCAGAGGCACAGAAACCCTCCCACCCCTCGCAATGCGGTGCAGCAGGGTCTCTGAGGAGGCGGCAAGTCCAGTGTGATGGCATTTCCCATTGAGGGGTGGACTGGTTCCCATCCACCCAGTGCACTTCCCTCAGATGGGACTTTGGGAGGGTGACCAACTTGTCCTGGTTTGCCCCGTACTGTCCTGGTTTTAAAACCAAAAATCCCAAATCCTAAGGAACCCTCAGTCCCGGCAATCTGGGACAGTTGGTCACCTATGGGGCTTGCCTGGCAGCGTGGGGAGGTATCGCATGTGACATCGTTGTTGCCTCAGGGGTGGGCTCTGGCTAACGGAGAGCGCTTAGAAGGCCTGTCCGGCATGAAGCCCTCGCTCTGGCCCTGCCAGTCTCCTGCCTGGACACGCTGAGGCCTGTTCCAGCCGGACAGTCCACGCCAGGTGGGGTTTGCTCTGTACGGGCAAATCTGATTTGTCCCCCTCTTTGAAAACCATCTCCTCAGAGTCTGTACTCTGCATGTCTTTACCAGCTAAGGAATTGTTCGGGCCTTGGCCTATGTTCCAGAGTTTGTGACAGGAGGCAAGGAAAAGGCTGAGGCCATAGTGAGCCCCTGGTACTAGTCACCCGGCCTGGGCAAGTCACTGATGCCTCCAGCGTCAGGGTTTAATGGGGATAATAGTCCCAGGAGGTTGTGAGATGCAAATGAGATAAGGAATCCCATAGTGCTTTGTAAACCCCACTGCATGATGTGAGGTCCTTAGGACACTGCGTTGATGCCTGTTTCCCTCTAGAAAAAGCAGAGCTGCCTCCACTATGCAGCCCTCAGTGGCTCCGAGGACGTGGCCCGGGCCCTCATCCATGCAGGAGGCTGCACCAATGTGGCTGATCATGTAAGTGCGGGGTCCTGGATTGAAGGGGGTCCCCACTGCAAAGTGTCCCCTGACCCCACCGTTGGAGTACAGCAGGGAGCACTTCAGGCACTTCAGGCCCGTTGGGGTTGGGGCGGGGCCAGGACCAGGGGAGCTGACAGCACGAGGGAGAGTCAAATAAGCTCCCAGCTGGAACAGGATTAGAAACCGAGGTTGCATTTCCTCCAGAGTGAATTATCTGCTCGTTTTTTCCACTCATTTATCCACTGGGTCTCAGTAACGATCTTTATGTTACAGATCTAGGCTCTTGGTTGTTCATTTTTCTCCTGTTGTGTTGTGGTGCACACACAGGCAACATAAAACCTTGTGGTTAAGACATGGACTTTGGTGCCAGACAACCTGGCTTTGAGGCCACTCGCAAACCGAATGACCTCGGGCAAGCTGCTTTGACCTCCCTGGGCCTTTTTCCCTAACTATGGGCACTATTATTATTCCCATTGTATAAGTGAGGAACTATTTATTGTTTAAATTAGAAAGAGGTCATTTCTTTCTTTCTTTTTTTTTTTTGAGGAAGATTAGCCCAGAGCTAACTACTGCCAGTCCTCCTCTTTTTGCTGAGGAAGCCTGGCCCTGAGCTAACATCCATGCCTGTCTTCCTCTACTTTATATGTGGGATGCCTACCACAGCATGGCGTGCCAAGCCGTGCCATGTCCGCACCCGGGATCCAAACCGGTGAACCTCGGGCCGCCAAGAAGCGGAACGTGTGAACTTAACCGATGCGCCACCGGGCTGGCCCCGAGGTCATTTCTTACAGCTGAAATAAGTACTATATTTAAAATTACTGTAAAAACAGTATACCACAGTTCATTGCAATATAGAGACAAAAGGCATCCTTAATCCCAACCCCCTAGAAAAGCGATGACTTGACTTCATTCCCTCCCAGTTCTTCCTCCTGTAGAGTAGCATCTCCAGCGAGAAAGAATCCAGGCTAAGGCAGAATTCTGGAAAGGGGGAAGCATACTTATCTTACTCATCAAGACACCAGAACCTTGATTCCAGTCCGGTGGAGTTGACCCAGCCCGAGCATCAACTGTTGCTGCATAGTTTTCCTAGGACCCATTTTTAGTGCCAGATGTGGTCCAGTGACCACATCACACTTAACAATTCCTCTACTGTTGGGTATTTAAGTTGGTTCTGACTTTGCCACGATGAATAATGGTTTCATGAACGTTTTTATAGTACGTAACTTTTTATTTCATTTGCTTTATATATGAATTCCCCAAGCAGGATTTCTGGGTCAGGTGGTAAAAACATTTTTCTGATTCTTGATGTAAGTTGTCAAACTGCTTCCCAGAAGGTCAGACCACATAGTCCCCAGTAATTTATGAGTGACTTTTCATCAATATTGACCTTTCATCAATAAAAAGTAATATTTTTATTAATTTTCTAGTTAAATGATTCTTAGTTATTATTTTACTTTGAATCTCTTTGATTCCTTTCGGCCTGTACTTTTCCTATTAATTCATTTTTCTAGTTTAGGGTCTTCTGTTGTGAGTTATTTCTTTAGATCCCTTGTCTCTGTTGGTGGCTTTTTGTTTCCATGAGGTCATTACTCTTGGAATCGTATATGTTGTTTGCTCGTACAATTTTTTGTTTTTTCCTGAGGAAAATTAGCTCTGAGATAACATCTGTGCCAGTCTTCCTCTATTTCGTTATGTGGGATGCCGCCACAGTGTGGCTGACGAGTGGTGTAGGTCTGCACTCAGGATCTGAACCCTCAAACCTGGGCCACTAGAGTGGAATGCACCAAACTCAACCACTACACCACGGGGCCAGCACTTCTTACCATTTTTTGACATAGATATAATTTTTTGAAATAATATAATGTAATTTTTTGAAAAGATGTAAATTTTTATGTAATCAATGGTATTCTTGACACGTTTTGAATTTTAATTTATTTTAATTTTAATCTTCTAGTTGTGATTTAATTTTTTTTTTTTTCTCTGAGGAAGATTTACCCTGAGCTAACATCCTTTGCCTATCTTCCTCTTTTTTTTTTTCATGTGGGTCGCCGCTGCAGCATGGCTGATGAGTGGTGTAGGTCTGCTCCCGGGATCTGAACCTGTGAACCCAGGCTGACAAAGCAGAATGTGCTGAACTTAATCACTACACCATGTGGCCAGCCCCTGATTTTTGATGTTTCTCTTTAATCCTCCTAAAATGTATTTTTGTGTATGGTCTGATATATTACTCAGATTTTTTCCCCCAAATTTTTATATTTCTATCTTAAGTGCATTTGTTAAATAATTCTAACATTTCTTAGTGCTTTTTCATTCCTTCCTTCATCATATATTTACATTTTGATATATGATGCATTCTATTTGTGGGTGAGTGATTCTCTATTAGTAAGTTTTATGTCTTTTCTTGAGCTGGTACCATGCTATTTTAATTATTATTGCCTTATGATTTGTTTTAAAGTCATAAAGGCTAGTCTCCCTTAATTATTCTTCTCTATTAGTGTAATCTTTTATCCTTTTATAGTCTCACATGTTTATTCTTCCAATTGAATCTTTTTTTTTGAGGAAGATTAGCCCCGAGCTAACATCTGCCGCCAATCCTCCTCTTTTTGCTGAGGAAGACTGGCCCTGAGCTAACATCCAGCCCATCTTCCTCTACTTAAATGTGGAACGGCTACCACAGCGCGACTTGCCAAGTGGTGCCATGTCCCTACCCAGGATCCGAACTGGTGAACCCCAGGCCGCCAAAGCAGAAGGTGTACACTTAACTGCTGTGCCACCAGGCCAGCCCCTTCCAGTTGAATTTTAAAGTAATTTTGTCAATTCAAAAAAATCAACTTAAAATTTATGTTAATCACTAAAGTATAAATTAATTATAGATAATTAAAATGAATTTAATATTTAGTCTTCCCATCTAGGAACATGATATGTCTCTCTCTATACTCAGATATTAATTTAAAACTACTAACAAAGTTAGACTTTAAAAACTTATTAAAGTAATAAAACATAAAAGGAATTTTAGAAAACAGAACAAAATCACTCACGTTTCTACTACCCTGGCACAAATATTCTCTTTTATTTACTCTATATTTACTTTAATCTTTTAAAAAAGTTACCCACTTTAGCATAGTTAGAATGATCATATACGTATAATCTTGTGCCCAGGTAATCACGAGCATTTCCACGTTCCTGCATCGCTATTGATGCTGACAGTTTTGCCTGTCAAATGGAGGCAGTATGATTTATTACCTTTTCAACTATCGTAGAGCATCAAGTTTACTTGCCAATACAAGTAGCACAGCTTTATGCCTATAAATTTTCTTTTGGGAAGATTCCCAGAGGTGGAAATTTGAGGTCAAATATTGTGAATAGCTTTCCAGCTCTTGATGTGTAAACCAAGTCACCTCCTAAAGGTCCTGTGGCAGTCTGCACGGCCACTAGCAGTGTGTGGGTTGGCCATTTCTTAGTCCTTTCACCAGTGTTGTATAGTATGTTTTACATTTTCTCTCAACTGAAAAAAATACCTAACATCCTTCATTATTGTCTTAATTTGCATCCCTTCAATTATTATTGAAAGTGAACATTTTTCCATTTGTAGCTAATTGTCTCTTCAAACTGTTTGCCCATTTATATGTGGGGATCTAAAATGATGTTTAAATTAGTTTGCCTGGGCTCTTTATCATATATATAAGCCCTCTGCCTCCCATGTCAACGATAAAGATTTCTTCTTAGTAGGCTGTTTTCATTTTGACTAGTTTTGCCCCTATTTATTTATATTATTTTTATTTGTTATATTTGCATTTTTTACATATCAAAAAGTAACCTGCTGGTAGTAATAGTGTCAAAAGACACAGACCTAAAAAGTGAAGGCCCTCACTTCTCTCCTCTGGCTCTATTTTTTTTTTGCAAACAGAAATGCTCTTTTCCCCAAAGAAATCAAACCTGATGATTTTTTTCTTTGCTTTTTCTTACATTGTTTCTATGCTTTGAAAATGAATCTCCTTGCCCATAATTTCAAAATAATTTATCTCCTTCCAATTTTTACGTAAATTGATTTTTAAAAATCAACTTTTAAAAATCAATTTTTAAATATCCGTGGTATAAAACAGGGACCAATGCGTATTTTTTCCTCTGAAATGACGAAGTAGTTGTCTCAACACCTCTTATTAAATAAGCAAATACTTAAATTTATTGGGTTCTGTTTCTTAACAGATGATTCTGTCACAATGAACTGTTTCGTATGTGGATTTCTGCCCCAGTTGAGGACTGACCCAAATAATTAACACAGTCCGCCATCCTAGAATCTCTTTGTCGGAGGCGTGCTCTGTTCCTTCTTCTAGAAAAGCAGACGCTCCCATCAGTCCCCCATCCCTGACGCTTTTGCTTTCTCCTTAGCTTCTGGCACTAACTGTTAGGTTACTTTGTTGATGATGTTTCTTGTCAGTTTTCCTCAGTAGAAGGCAAACCCCATGTTGGTTCTGCTGATGTTGACAGAGGTTTTGTTTGTTGTGTTCGCTGCTGGATCCCCAATACCTGGAACAGTCCTTGGCACACAGTAGACATTCAATACGTACTCACTGAATGAATGAATACCAGTTACACGTTCACCTCCAGCTGCCTCTATCTGCTGGTCCAGGAGGTCCCAACGCCTTGCTATCCGCCAGCACGGATGGTCCCCTCCCACTGATGGGAGGCTGTAGAGCCAATATCCTGAGCCGATATCTGCCGTGTGGGGCTAGTCCTGATCTCTTTTAGGGATGCCCTGCGCTCCTTGTCTTTTCAGATTACTGCAAGGTGTGGCTTATTCACATGGCAACAGGTTTTTTGTTTTGTTTTATCTGTTTATCTTTTTTTTCTTAAACAATCGAAATTCAAAATAACCAGGAACACTTTGAAAGAGAAAAGTGGAGTAGGAGAGTCGGCCTAAATCCACATACCATAAAAGAGTGATAAATTTGATAATGTAAAAACAAATATTTTGACTGGCAAAAGAGACTGTAAGG